ACTTGACTCTGAAGATGACTTCCACTCAGGTTGTCGAAACGTCAGTCACCAACAACAGTTCTTTTCAGAACTACACTCACCTAGACGATCACACTATACGAACTACTGATACTCCTGGGTTCAAACCATTTACTATTGAAGGAAAGGTCAACAATTTTTGACAGATACAAAAAGGAATAGATAGTTTTCTTTTTGTGCTGAATTTTCAAATTATCTGTTACAGTACTTCCCGGGAAACCGAGACCAAAACACCGTTGTCACGAATTCCTTTGTTCCTATACTGCGCTGCCGTTACATCCGGGTTCATCCCAGAGGATGGTACAAACACATCTCCATGAGGGTGGAATTCTATGGATGCCTCACAGGTGGGTATCAATCCATACCAGTTATCACGGGACAAGAAGGTATACGACATGAGGAGGTATAAGAATTGAGAAGTTATATATCAAACAGGAAAGACCGTGTTTCACCGCATTTTGAAACACCGAGGAGAGAGTTGAAAATACGAAGCGCAGCGGAGTGTTTTTGACGAACTTCGAGGTGTTTCAAAATGTGGCCAACACAGTCAAACACTTTTTGCCTCCTTCTTCGTCAGTTTCAGCCCTTTTATCAAACTGTATGTAAACGTTTACATCAGAACACAAAACTCACTCGGATAGAAGTCACGTTTTTGCTACGTCCGTTTTGTTTAGATCGTTGTGTTATGCCTCTTGGTATGGAAGACTATCGTATCCTCTCGGGTCATCTTCGGGCCTCGTCGTCGTACAACTACAACCACGGACCTGACCGAGCGCGTCTGAACATCTTTAACAGTCATGGACGAACAGGAGCTTGGGTAGCAAGGCATCGAAACACCCATCAATATCTGCAGATTGACTTAAGGCAGCTGAGTATCATCAAAGGAATCGCTACTCAAGGAAGAAGAGAAGCTCATCAATGGGTGAAAAGTTATAGTCTATCATTCAGTCGCTTTGGAGTGCGGTTCAAAGCCTACCTGTCGTACGGAAGAGTTAAGGTAACGGCTTGTGTTGCTTCAAATTAACCTTTCTTATCTAGGGCGCCCCAGCGTTGTCCGAAGTGTCAGCCATTTTCTCGCGCTTAACCCCCCGAGGGCCTTGCCGAGAAGGACGTCTGAATAGGCCCTTTCCATGACCCAGTCACATGGAACAAAATCAACCATGCTGGACTGCAAGTTGCACAGTCGTACTTCCAAAACCAAGAAATGTGCATTTGAACTCGCTCGAGTTGCTGCGTTTTTGAAGTCCCACTGTCCAACATGCATCCCAGCATGGTTGATTTTGTACCATGTGACGAGTCGTGCAAAGGGTCCATTCCCAGTGTTATAGTGTCGTACCATGACGTCATACACTAATGTGCTCGGACAACGCTGTATAAAGTTATGGTTTAAATGTCGATCCACTGTTTTTCTACGGTATGCTCACGCGGACAACACATTGAATTGTACTATATTTCCTTCACATTTGGTAGAAGTCAAGTCTAATCGGATGAATCCAAACGGTTTTGCTCCTATCATAAACTTATAGGCCATTTCCGAGTTACCTTGTACCTTTGTTTCTAAACGAGTCTTCAAGCAAAACCTTTCATATGAAAATGAGTTTGATTTGCATGAAAATGAACCTGTAGGCGGAACACATTTTCATATGAATGTCTTCGCAAAAAGACTCGTTTTGACACAGATAGAGGCACAAGGTATTTCGGAAATGGCCTATTACAACACATCTGTGTACACACTCGTGCCATTTTCCTTTTCTTGCTCTTCTGATGAAGCTCTGTAAGTGACGACTATAGTTTTCGATTTATATATTATTAAGTGTCATGAGCTTATAGATACTCAGTGCATACATAATGTGATGTTGAAGTAATCGCCAGTATGATCTTTCCCCAGATCTTCCGAGGTAATTACGACATTTTTCACACGGTGGGTCACAAGATCATGCCAGCAATACGCGCGCAGTTTGTCCGAATTCATCCCCGGTCATGGCGTAGTTACATTGCTATGCGCGTGGAGCTTTATGGATGTCGCCTGCGGGGTAGGTCTTGATATGGCTTTTGTTGCACGGTATGAAATGTTTATATTGCAGGTTATCCAACATTGCACGCTGCCACGACTAAGGTTTCGTTTGTGCCTTATATACCTTTAAGAAAGATAATGATATATTGCCTGAAGACTGTTGGTGTCTGAACATTTTTGGAAACTTTCAGCTGTACACATTATTGTTACAACAGTAGCAGACACTAAACCAAACTCATTCCCGGGGAAGAGATAGGACCCTGTTAATAAGACCGACACTAAACCGACAAAAAATAGCTTCACCATTTAACGTTTCGCTTAAAAGCAAGCTCTTAACCAACTGTGTTTCTATCGGCAGAGTTTACAACACTATTATATGGAATGAAAATAACTCAAAAGCTTTGGCTTACCGTTATTTAAAGGCTATAGAGCGGAGTATATGGTTGGCTGACCGCATGTGAAAGCTTTTTTCTACGAATGCTACTGGACGGACTAAACAAAAAGGACTTTCTATGAAGTAAAAAATAAGGGTTAATAGTATCAGGGTCTTGAAAAAGTCTAGAGGCAAGAAAATTTAGGAACCTCCTGTAGATGGTACACAACCTTTTCCCAAAATAACCTTCAATCGATTTTGTTTCAGAACGGTTTTACGACAGTCCTGTTGGTATTCAAAATGGCCGTATCAAGAATTCTGCCATGACAGCCTCGTCTCAGTGGGATGCAAACCATGCGGCGTGGTTGGGTAGGCTTCACCGTCCACGCCGTGGCCGGTTGATGGGAGCCTGGTGTTCCCGCCATAACAACCATAACCAATGGCTGCAAATTTATTTGTGGACGTGGATGAAGGTCGTTGGAATTGCGACTCAGGGACGACAGGACGCTGACCAGTGGGTAACGGCGTACTATGTGTATTATAGTTCGGATGGAGTTAACTTTGCTAAAGTGAAGCACTGGTGGAATTACGTCAAGGTAAAGGTTTAGTTCATACGCTCACTGTTATTCAATGAAAACCATTTACCATGACTCTTTACGTAATATATCAAACACGAAAGACGGTGTTTGACCACATTTCCAAACACCGAGAGGAATGTTAAAAATACGACGCGTAGCGAAGTATTTTTGACGAACTTTGTTGGGGTGTTTGGTAATGTGGTGAAACACTGTGTTGAGTGTTTGATATATCTTCTCAATCGAAACCAAGACTAAGAAGAAAACGGAGAAATAAAATTGTAAAAATCTATGCTAATTAAGATCAGATATCCAAGCACTGTCACAGTCATGATTTCCTTTGTTTAAACTTGATGAATTATTAATGAGTTTGAGAAGAATCATATAATATGCCACACCCTACAAAACTACACGTATATTGCGTCAATTTTTTTTCCGAAAACATTTTAAATTTTCTCTGATAATAATGTATGTGTAAATATAAATTTTCTTTCTGTAGTCCTTAAGGCCTTATGCGTCCCATGGCGCAACGAGAACAGATGATAATGAGCCCGTAAACTCAGTACTGTGAGAACGTTATAGCAACAAGAAATAGTTCATTTTGGACGACTAGAAAGAAGTGTGGAAACTATTGCCTACATCTCATGTTTCTACGCCTCTTTTTCATGTTATGGCAAATGTTGAGATCGATTTTGAAATATCCTGGAAATCACGTGTTCTTTTATTTAAAGAAGTCTTGATATTCCTCCATCACTAGAATTTCTTGTTTCGTTGTCTTTTCATGCCATCAAAATGAAGACCAGTATGTAGCTAACAGAAGTAGAATTGACTAAAATAGCAATAACATAACCTAAAATTTGTTGCTTTACTGCTTTACAGACATTCCAAGGCAACCGAGACCGAGTGTCTGTCCAAACGCATCCCTTCGATCCACCAGTCTATGGACGGTACATTCGAATTATACCTCGTGGCTGGAGGGCACATATTTCCATGAGATTGGAATTGTACGGAGGACCATGGAGTAAGTTGTACGAATCTGATTTTCCAGCCGAATCTAGATTAAATCCGAATGACTAAGACGTATAGACGAAGTCTAAATCACTTTAGTATAATCTACTAGCGTTCTATCACGAATGCCGTGCTCTGATTGGCTACACTACTCACTATATATTCTGCTGCACACAGTGAGTAGCCTAGCAGTGTACGCTCGTTAACAGACCGGCGGTCGCTTCTTTGCGTGTGTAGAGGATTAAGATAAACTTTTGAACGACTAGAAGATTTATATTAAAACAATTAGATTATTCGCTCTCGATTTCCATACGTGATATTTGACTTGGGCTGCGCCCTGATCATCAACTATCACGCGATAGAAATCTCGAGCTCATAATCTAATTGTTAAAAAGAGGAAGGAAACAATTAATGCTGAAAATTTTGGACACGGGAATGTTGACTAAATGATTAACAAGTAGCATACTTGACATGTTATAGATCGTTGTGATATGCCCCTCGGTGTGGAAGACGGCCGAGTTCCAGATCCACTCATGCGCGCGTCTTCGTTTTACAACTACTACTGTGGACCGTTCAACGCCAGGCTCAACAGGCGACGTTACGGCCGACAGGGAGGGGCCTGGTGTGCAAAGAGGCGAGACCGGCGTCAGTGGCTTCAGATTGATTTTGGCGCGCTTACAAAAGTTTGCCGTGTAGCGACTCAAGGAAGACAGAACTCCGCCCAGTGGGTCACTAGTTATTATATAACATACAGCAGAAACGGATACAAGTTTATTCCGTACAGGGAAGGCAGGCGTACCAAGGTAACATTTTTCACATGTAAAAGATTCAACACAACTGAACACCAAAAATTTCGATAAAAAAATATGTACATTGTAAGGTATAAATTCTTATTGAGAGGCACGGTGGTCTCAACTCCGAATCGAGTGGTACAGGCTCGAGCCCTGGCTGGGGCACTTTGTTGTGCTCTTGGGAAAGGCAATTTACTCTTACAGTGCCTCTCTCCACCCAGGTGTACAACTGGGTACCGGGGACTTTAATGCTGGAGTTACCCTGCGATGGACTAGCATCCCCCATCCGGGGGGTAGTAGAAATACTCGATTCTAATCACTTCGTGTTATTTAAACAGGAGATAAACGCCGGCTTGATGGGCCACTTGGTTCGTATGTAGACTTAACGATAATCTCTTAAAACACCAAACGTGTGGACTCTCACAATTACAGATCAAACGTTCTTTCAACACTATGTAGTGCGAAAACATCTAAATACTTGCTTGAAAGCCACTTGATTAAAAAGCAACGTTTTGCTTTAAAGTTCCTTACGAAGGTTTTTTATGTTGACTTCTTCATGGCTTCTTTCTTAGATATTCCAAGGCAATTATGATCAGTTCATCATCGTACGTCACAGACTAGCAAGGTGTATCACTGCACGCTACTTCAGAATCCGTCCTGTCACGTGGTACAGCTGGATCTCAATGAGAGTGGAATTTTACGGTTGTGTTGTTGGTAAGTGTTCAGTTGTCCTTATTGCATTAATTGGTCACGCAACGACTTACCGTCATAAAGATAAGAGGGTGGAAGGAGAGATGGATCAAAATTAAAGGACGTTTATCAACAAGCTAGAAGTCTTTGCAGAAGTCACCTACCTCTTTAGAACCTGTTATTTCATTCGCTCCCTGTTTTACGCACCTCTATTGGTTCGTTGTTTCTGTTTTTTGCTCAATTATTTTCTAAGCCAATCCTGTTAAGCCTACTATTGTCATAAGGGTGAAATTTTACGAAAGTTTGAAGGTGTTCAAAATTTAGACTGATTTATATGAAATGGGCAACAAAATTACCTACCACACAAATCATTGTAATTTCTCATAGATTACGACCTCTGTAAAATCTCACTTTTAGGGGCAATAAGCGAAAAAAGTGGGGTTTTTTTGCTACTTTTTTTAAAACCAAATTTATCATAGAACACTTTTAGAAGGCAACAATTGCCCACTTATCCATGAACAGTTTTGTTTGCTGGAATACAATTGAAATCTCAACGATCTGTCACGCTTGTCTTGATAATAGCTGTGTTCTCTTGAAAAACGCAGTTTACTTCATCGAGATGTGAAATTCTGATGAAGAAATAGTGTCGGATTGAAACATTGAAGGCCCAGTTCAGACGCCGAATTTTTCATGAGCCGAACTTAATTCGAATTTGGACCGACCCAAATTATCAAAAGTACGCCTGTTGACTCAGACGTCAAACTTAATTCGACGAACGTAGTTTAGTTTGATCCAAAACACATCGAAATGTCAGTGGTTTTCAGGCAAAGTGTAAACTTCTTGTAAAATACTAATTTATGCCGTTAGGTTCGACACATGAAAAGTTCGACGTATGAATCAAAGCCGTTCCAAATTCCTGGTTAAGCTAGGCGGGAAGAACAGCTGAACCGTTCCAAATTCGAATAGCCGTTCTTAACTGATTCAGACGCCGAACTTTTCATGTACTTAATTTAACGTATTAGGTCCACTCATGAAAAGTTCGGCGTCTGAAGTGGACCTAACATTAATTCACTTCACCTTTTTCAAGGACCACGCTGCAACAAGCCCTTAGGAATGCAAAATGGCCGCATCAAAGCAAACCAACTTAGTGCTTCGTCCAGCTGGGACAGAAACCATGCACCTAACAGAGGCAGGCTTCATCTGCACCGTGTCGGCGCGAAAATGGGGGCCTGGTGCGCGCGCCACAACAATCGTCTACAGTGGTATCAGGTGAACTTTGGACGCCCTAAAAGGGTGGTGAAGTTCGCTATTCAAGGACGACAGGACGCCCGTCAATGGGTGACTCAGTGTTATTTGTCGTACAGTCAAGATGGTATACATTATGCGGAATTTAAAGAAAACAGCAATCGAAAGGTAAGGGGGGTAAATTATTTTTTTCCACGTTGAAATGAAATACACAGTGCATAAATATCAGAAGAATTACACAGTCAAGATATAAAGTAAACAACGTTTATGTAGCAGTGTTGTGCTAATTGGGGACAGTGTAAATAAATAAACAAACGTTGCAAATAGAACAGAAGCTATTAAGAATCCCAACTGGTAGGAGGCTGACCAGTTGGCTATTAACACAACACGGTCGAGGAGTTGAACTCGGAACTACCGAAAGTAAATCCAGATAGCGGTAGGGTGGAGAATTTGACTAAGGGACCTGCAGATTTCCAGTCCAGAGCCCTAAACCACTCGGCCACGCCTCCTCCACTTTAGGCTCTAATTGTTCAGGAGACCTCCAAGAGTTCAAGCTACAAATTTCAAAATGCAATATTGAACACCGCAGGAGAAAACAGCTCAAATGGTGTATTTTATGGTGCGTCAGGATTTCAGTCGCAAACTGAAAAGTTCGAACTGCATGCACAGTACACGTATTATGTTGTACTGCCAGCAATCAACACTCATACACACAAATTGATCCCGCAACTTCCATATCGCTTAAAACCAATTACCATAACTTTATGGAGAAACAAAATTACTTCGTCTGTGTAATTAAAAAATATATCTTATTGCTTGATTTCCATTTAGTTCTGGCATCATTCGTAAACGTTTTGGAAAACTTAGACCGGGTTTCATAACCCCCATTTTTTCACAGCTTTTTTTTTCACTGTCTTACTTAAATCGCAAACTGCTGTATGAAAAGGCCGGCTTAATAAAGCTTCCTTGCTTTCAATTTAAAGCGTCTTTTCCCAATGATGTCAAGGAAATTGCTTGCTGGTAAAGTGTAAACATTAAAAAAAGGCAGTAATAATATAGCAGGACAGAAATTTAGTTTTATTGCTAGCAACCTGAAATTACTTTCTTTCTATGGGGTTGAGAAAATTACTCTATTGTAAAAGTTAGCCAGACGAAAATAATAACATGACCAACTAAATGCAATAAATGATATTGAATTTGCATAATTTCATATGCGGTACACCTGATCAATTAAAAAACATGATGTTTTGAAAATTAATAGATTTTAGTTAAAATACTATCATTATGGTTGTTCGACGTGTCGATGTCTCGAACATCCATTTAAAATTAATGTCAAACTGAGGTGTTCGTCTATTCTTTGTGAATAAAATTAAAGAGCTTCGCATATTTTCGGCCGTGATGTGATCTTCCGGCAGCATTTCGCTCACCAGC